TCTCTTTCTTTCTCATTTCTTTGATTTTTGTGTCTCGTTTTCGCTTTTATCGCATGAGCTTACATGATTATGTGCTCTATCCTATACTTTTGGGTCAAGCAATGAGGACATTGCTTTGTTTTAAGTGTAGGGGAGGGATTTTCGTGATTATGCATGTTTAGGTGATATTTTTTCGTTTTTTGTGCTTTGTTTTTGTATTTATTGTGTCGTGGACCGGTTTTCTGTGAGTTTTTGAGTGTTTGAGTCACCTCTCCCTCATGATGCTCTATGTTTGTTCGAGAGTCAAGATAGATAAGTGGTGAGTCGAGATTGTTGATTGGTTTCACTATTAGCGTTCATGCTTTATGTACTTTTTCCTTAAAGTTAAATGATGATTCGTTGGCATTGGAACCCGCATGTGGATTCACTGAATTATTTTGTCCCTTGTTGATTCTCGATTGATTGTCTTGAGGCATGCTTTCCTTATGTTCGATTATCGTTGTAAACGTGTTATCTATGCACTTGTGGTACGTCTTGATGATTATTGATGTTCATGTTATTGTATTCTTGATGTATTCTTGTGTGCCTCTCCTTCTAAAAAAAATTGAATAAGATGTTAGTTCGCGAGGAAGTATGGATTAGGCTCCTCTTATCCCGAGCCACTTCGTGGATTGGGATAATGAGCCCGGGAAACCGGTTTAGGAAACTCGAGGAAATCCCTCGAGGTCAAACCTAGATCATCTCATCCGAAAACTTCGTTTGGAAAAAGAAACTCACGAAAATGAGTTCGTGAGAGTCAAAAGGATTAGGCTCCTCTTGGCTCGGTTAGTCTTCTAGACAAACTGGGTTCAGGAGTACGAAAAACCGGCCTAGGGAACTCAGGGTTTGTTATCATCCGATTCGGTAAAACTACATTAAGAGATTCCAAACATCACATTAAGAGGAAGATGACCATTGAACCGACGTGATTTTAACACCACCCCGGTCCAGGCGACGAACCGGACCGAATTACCGAAGACCGAAGTAGTCAGCACCTACCGAGGTCTATTTAAACCGAGATTGCCACCTCCTTAAGCAGGTGACAAGGTGCCTACGCACAACCATCCCACTCCACAAGAT